TAGCACCAACGGCTAGCAATCCGGCCTTACTGGATTTATTGCTATGCATTTGGCTTCCGCAAAACGACCTAAATGCGGACCAAAATTTATTAAAACATTAGTGCTCGGAGTTATACAAGAATGGGGAGCCCGCAAGTCAAATTGCCTAAAAAAAAAATTATTTATTTATTTTATACACTGCAATGTATACTTGAAATGTATAAAAATTTATACTTACATGATGGTTCCATCTTCAGCGGCACTCCAAAATAAAAATGGAATACTAGGTGCTGTGGCTATTCTTTTAACTCTTCCATCATGGCAGTTACATACTAATAAAGTTTCTTTAACTTCCACATCATGAATTCTTATTTTACGATCTCCAGCTCCTGTAACTATGAAGTTGTCCTTTGTTTTGGATAAAAATTTCACCGTGAAAATATTACCACGATGTCCAGTTTCATAACTGTGAATTTTTTTATGACAAAATGGATTCCATAAAATAAAACGAGCATCATCGGAAGCAGATGCTAAAATACTGTAATCAATCAAAATTAGTTAAAAACTATTTTTAATAATTAAATATTTTTAAGTAAATGTATTATATTTATTAAAATAAATTAAAATAATTTAATTTCAAAAGTCACAGTAAATTGAACAATTATTCTAATCACATTTACAATTTATGGTTTTTTTTTTTTTTTAAATTTACCGAAAAAGAAAATTTTTTTCTAATAACAATTAATTTAACATTAAATTGTGTAACTTTTAATTAAATTCTGAAACCCCTCAAACTAAATAATAATTAAATTATTATCAAGCAGAAGACATTTATATTTTTGAGAAATATAATTTGTCATAATAAATTACCTTCCACTTTCATTCCATTCTAAACAATTTACACAACCTGTATGACCTTCGAGTTCCTTTTCTAAACCCAACCTGCTTATAAAACTGTCATTTACAAGCAATTTCGATTGAAATTTATTTGAAATTCTATCATCAACTTGTCTCAAACTTAAAAGTTTTAAATAATTTGATGTTTCTTTGGAAGATTTTCTAGCCATGGTGAATATTTTAATTAATAATTATACTAATATTGCCATTTAAAAATTAAATTTCTTATCATGATGACATCTGAAAAGTAAAAAAAAAAAGAAAATTTGCAAATAAGAAATTATAACGAAAAAAAAATTTTTTGAAATGTTTAAATCAAGTTACAATTTATGACAATACACAGTTATTTTGAATTGAGGCATTATTATCTAATTTCCAATTAAATATTATCTTAAACAAAAATAATAATAATCAGTGGTAATAACATGAAACTACACAAGTGTAAAATTTAACAAAAATATGTGTAAATAAAGGAAAATCCAATAATTAAAATAATTATTAAAGAATGTAATAGGCCTGTTAAATTAAAACCTATAAAATTTATAATAATAATTATAATTACTGATAAAATATTGTATATTTAATTTTTTATATTTTAATTACCGAGAAATTCCAAAAAATTTGCTTAAAAGAAAAAAAAAAAAAAAAACTAATGTATTGGAAAAAAATATTCACAAAAACTCCGGAAAATTTTTTAGTGCACTATATACGTATATAATAAGCTAAAAATTTTAAAACAAGGTTTTAAACAAAAACTTACTGTTTAATATTTCGCGTTAGTAATTTTAGAGAAATTACAATAAGGCGTAAGTAAAATAATACGACGATTAAACAAAATAAATTAAACAATATATTTCATAAATAATATTTCGATAACGTTCATTCTATTAAATTATTCATAAATATACATTCCCCACATAAACTTCACATTAAAATATAAAGCAGCCGATTATCGGGTCACTAGATAATGTTAGTTGTGATCCAGATTATTTCTAATCAAATCCGCTGTCATAAATAAATAAAATTAAATTCAAATTTAGAAACTAAAATAATTTGAATGCAATCATATAATATTATAATTAGGTTTTATTTTATACTATTTTAAAGTATTTGCGACATACATAAAATAGAGTTTTCCTCAATTATTGTTTTTTATTTATCGCATATATCGTACAATTAGACAAACTGATACTCCGCGCAAAAATAATTTTTCTTATTATTGTTGGAGATAACTTTTTTAAAAACTTAAATTCAAGCAATATTAAATTAAATTAAGTTAAAGGAATGTAATAAATTTTTAAAAACATTACATACTTTTCTTAACCAGAAGAAATCATGAAAAAGTTTTTTTTTTTATTATCAAATATTAAATAAAAATTGGACTAATTTTAATTACTTTTATTTATTTTTAAATAATCATTTAGTTTAAGTACTATTTTATTAAAATCAACAAAATATAAAAAAATAAAAAATAATTAATTTTCTGTATAAATTTTATTAAAGTTTTTTCAGTTTTCATCTTCACTTCCAGTATTTTCACAATAATCATCATTATTTTTTTCATCGTCATAATCTTCTGAAGTATTTCTGTATTCTGTAATATTTTTTGATGGCAATTTGCTTCCCATTTTTATATTCATGTTCAGTAGAAGTTTATCTGCTGCTTGTTTTCTTTCAGTTTCCTAAAAAAGAAAAAATTTATGTTTACTAATGGCTAATAAAAATAAATAAAAAAATTTTTTGTCATATTATTAGAAATGAAAATCGTAATTGATATTTTTTATAATAAATATATCTGTGATTATAAAAATTAAAAATTACTAACTTTTATTTTTTGAGCTTGATCTTTCTGTAATTTTAATGATTCAGAAAGACTAATGGGTTTAGTGTTTTTGAAATTGCTGATCGGAGGAGTTACTTGAGTTATTTCCCAATTTTTTCCTAATCTTTCTTTTAGTTTAAGAGCACTTGTGTCGAATAAATTTTGATTATTTTCCTTAAGCTGGTTGGGTTTAAATCTGTCTTTTGGTGAATTTTCATCATCATATTTTTTACACATTTTTTCAATATAACTAAGTTTTTTTTCTTTACTTTGAAAAGAATTTTCTTTTTGCTTGATGCCATTCAAAGTACCAGAATGTGAAGCAATGAGTTTTAATGGATCCTTAATATTGTCATTTAAAACATTTTCATCATCATCATCATCATCATCACTGTCGATCTGAGTTTTAGACCTTGGTAACTTCCCCTCATTCCATTCAATATCTTCTACATTTAAATCATTTAAAGTAAGATTTGATAAGAGTTCACAGGTTGAATCGCACAACTTTTCCCTTTTTTTAAGTTCATTTTGAAGTTCATTTCGAAAAGATATAATTTTTTCACCCTTATCAGGTAATTTTTCTATAAAAAACCTAAAATTGTCTGTATGTATTTTTTTTTTGTATTTTAAAATTTTAAAAAATAATATTAAAAAATTTTTACCTATTGCGAAGTAGTTTATTCTGTCTTTCAATAAGTTCTTCTAAATCTTCTACCCTTTGCTGTTGTAAATTAATGTAACCTTGTCGAAGTTTTCGATCATCATAATTTAAAGCACTTGTTTTGTCCTTATTTTTTAAATTCATTATTATAAATTTAAACTTTTAAACAAAATTTTATTATATAGTATGTATAACATAAGATAAAAACTTTATTTCGTAAAGAAACATCCAACTACTGTTGAACGAATGAAATAATAAAACTTTCACAATAGCAAAACCGCCATTTTATAAACTCCAGAATGCCAACTTAACATGTTTAAACGTCAAAGTTTGTTTTTTAACCATAGAGGTAATAAAGTTTAATACACTCGTTTTCTAATTCAAAGTAAGTCAAAGTAATTTTGTAAGTCAAAAATTTTAGTTTATTTTATTTTTAAAGTAAATGATACTTTTTTTTTTGGTATAATTTTAATATTTGAATAAAAAAATAAGAAAAATTTAAAAGATTTTAGAATGACGATAATTAATAATATGATTTTAATTTTTTTTTTTTTAATGTTTCTGAATTAAGAGTATGAAGAAATCTGAAGAAAATATAATGAATATCGTGTCATTAGATAAAACTCTATGATTGTTGTTAACATGTCTACAAGTAGTTTTTTTTTTCGTAATTAATAATGTAAATTAAAAGCAGTTCGGTATAAATTTATTAATATTTTGAATTAAAATTTAGAAAATTAAGTTTTGATCATGAAGTATAGTACTTCTCCAATGAGTAGTCGTAGTTCTTCGGTCATGAGCAATAGTTTTAGAGGGACCTCTTCTCCTTTACCAGCTCCTTTATCGTATTCGTAAGTCATTCATCTAAATAAAAATAAAAATAATTAATAATAATTATTCATAATTTTTGGAAAATTTATTTTAGAGCTAGTTGTATGACTGCAGCTGCTAAAAGGTATAAATATTTAAGAAGATTATTTAAATTTCATCAAATGGATTTTGAATTTGCATTGTGGCAAATGTTGTATTTATTTATAGCACCTCAAAAAGTGTATAGAAATTTTTATTATAGAAAACGTAAATTTAATTTTAAATTAAATAATGTTATTTAAAATTTTTTTTTTTTTTACAAAAATTAACATTTAATTTATTTTATAGAAACCAAATCTCAATTTGCTAGAGACGATCCTGCTTTTTTGGTTTTATTGACACTTTGGCTTGTGGGATCTTCGATTGGTTTTTCATTTGTCCTTCAATTAGATTTTTTAAGCTTTATTAAATTTACATTGTATGTCATTATTGTTGACTGTATTGGAGTAGGAGTTTGTATAGCAACTTCTCTGTGGTATTTATGTAATAAATATTTAAAAAAGCAAACATGTGAAGATCAGGATGTCGAATGGGGATATGCTTTCGATGTGCATTTAAATGCATTTTTTCCATTATTAATCATTCTTCATGTTTTTCAATTATTTTTTTACAGTGGTAAGTGTTTTTTTTTTAAATATTCTTTATTAGCAAAAAATAATTTTAAAATAAGATAATTATATTTTATTACCGTGTCGACGAGAAAAATAGAAAAAATTAATTATTTTTCAGTTCTTATAAATCATGATTGGTTTATATCGATATTATTTGGGAATACTCTGTGGGCAGTCGCAGTCGGTTATTATATGTATATAACATTTTTAGGATACAGTAGTAAGAAATTACTTTGCATAGTTTATTAATAACCATGTTTGATAATTTTTATTAAGTTTTTACTATTTTTTTTTTTTTTTTTTTTTCCTCCTAGGTCTTCCAATACTTTACAGAACTCATGTATTATTGTATCCATTGACTGGTTTAGCATTAGTTTATATAGTAACTGTCGCAATGAGGTGGAACTTAACTCAAAGCATAGTATATTTTTATAAATATAGAGTATTGTAAATTCAATTTTCGAAATAATAATAAAAAAAAAATAATGATGATGTTGTTATTGTCGTTTAACAAGTTCTAAACATTAATAATAATAATAATAATAATAAATAAATTATATATATGATCAAAATAAACCAAATTATTATTTAAATTAATTAAATTATTATATAGACATGACGTAATTATGAAATAAAATTAAATTCTCATTGTTTTTCAAATTTCGAGGTTGTATTTATTTAACTAATTGAAAATAGCAATAATAATAATAGTAATAATAATAATAATAATAATAATTTAAAAAAAAAAAAATGTTATAATTAAAATGTATTATAATGAATGGACATACATTTTTTTTTTTTTTTTTTAAATGTCATTTTAATTTTAACTTATCTTTTTTTTTTTTTTAACG